AGAAGCAGAAGAAAAAGCATAAGGGTAAATTCAACAAGGGGAAAGCCCCTAAGTGGCAGGCCAGATATACACCCCAGAAAAACAACCCTCCCTAGAGCAGCAATAGTGAGGGAAAGAAGAAGTGGAAGAAGAAGACCACTGAGCTGTCGTCCATTCCCAAGAACACTTGGGAGGACAAATGCCACAGATGTGGCATGACTGGACATTGGTCCAGAAACTGTCGCACTCCGCGACACCTCCAAGATCTGTATCTAGCGAGCCAGAAGTCTCCTGTTGAAACAAATCTGGTGGAAAAGCAGCCGTCTACTCAGTTCACTGCTGATGACTTCGAAATGGATGATCTTCTCGACTAGATCCATGTTATCTTTATATGCATTTAAATTCTCATAGTACTTTCATCTTTAGTTCTTTACTTTCCATGTAATGCAATTTACTTTTCAATAAAGATAGTTATTTTCTTTAGATTAAAATATTGCATTCATGTTATAGATGAAGTGTGAGTGCCTTGTGGACAGTGCCTCGACGCACACAATCCTTCGCGAAAGAAGCTATTTCAATAGCTTATATGATTATGACGATCCTGTAATTACGATTTCAGGACTATCTAATATAATAGAAGGATTTGGTGAAGCAATGATATTGCTCCCAAATAAAACGAGACTAATAATAAAAGATGCATTATTCTCTCCGAAATCTAATAGAAACCTCATAAGTTTCAAGGATATTCGTTTAAACGGATATCACTTAGAAACCAATGAAATAAATGAGGATGAGTATTTGTATGTAACTCGTCAAAAAGATGGTTCAAAAACTATCTTAGAACGATTCAAGGGACTCCCGTCGGGTCTCTATCATACATATATTCAACCAGTAGAAGCTAACATGATTGTGCACCAGAAGTGCCATTCTTCGACGAAATTTAAACTTTGGCATAACAGACTGGGTCACCCAGGATCAGCAATGATGCACCGCATCATGAGCCAATCAAGTGGACACAACCTGAAGAACCTGAAGATTCTTCAGAAGAGTGATTACTCATGTCTATCTTGTTTTCAAGGTAAACTGATCACGAGACCTTCCCTTCTGAAAGTGGGATTAGAGTCTCCTAGCTTCTTGGAGAGAATACATGGCGATATTTGTGGGCCTATTCACCCCGCAAGTGGACCATTTAGGTACTTTATGGTACTTATAGATGCATCAACCAAGTGGTCTTACGTGTGCCTTTTGTCCACCCGCAACTTAGCTTTTTCAAAGCTATTGGCACAAATTATTAAGTTGCGGGCTCATTTCCCCGATAATCAAATCAAGAAATTACGTCTTGATAATGCGGGAGAATTCACTTCACAAGTCTTTCAAGACTATTGCCTAGCAACTGGCATCGAAGTTGAACATCCTGTAGCACATGTTCACACCCAGAACGGGTTAGCAGAATCTCTAATTAAGAGATTGCAATGGATTGCTCGTCCATTGTTGATGCAATCACAGTTGCCTGTTGAGGCTTGGGGTCATGCAATATTGCATGCAGCATCACTTATCAGAATACGGCCCTCTGGTGGCCATATTTTGTCACCAATGCAGCTTGCTTATGGTGCACCTCCGAATATCTCACATTTGAGAGTGTTTGGTTGTGCAGTTTACGTCCCAATTGCTCCTCCACAAAGGACCAAAATGGGTCCACAGCGTCGTTTGGGTATCTATATAGGGTTTGATTCGCCCTCTATAATAAGATACCTTGAACCCCAGACGGGTGACGCATTTAAAGCACGTCTTGATGATTGTGAATTTGTTGAGGATTCATTTCCTAAACTTGGCACACAGTCCAGGAAGCCTGACGCTTCTAAGACCATTTCTTGGAACACCAAGACTTTGTCTCATTATGATCCGCGTACTAGTCAATGTGAAGATGAGATCCTGAAGATTCTTCATCTTCAGAATACAGTACATTTACTTCCGGATAAATTCACTGATAACCAGAAGATTGTCAGATCACACGTCCCTGCTGTCAACACGCCAGCTAGGATTGACATCCCCAAAGATGGATGCAATCCGCCGGCAGCAGAAACGGCTGTACCTCAATTGAAAAGAGGACGCCCACCAGGTTCGAAGGACAAAGTCCCTCGTAAAAGAAAAAATCCTGGAGAAATAAAAATGAACCCAACACAGGATACTGAGCTCAGACCAGCTTCCTCTCCCCTCCTAGATTCCCCTGAAGAGGAACAAATAGGAGAAACATCATTAAATTTTGTACGTACTGAGGAGGTACTGGACAGAAAAAGCACAGTCGTCGACGACGACTTTGCGTTCGATATTGCCGTTCACGTCACTGAATACGACGATGACATCGAACCACGGTCTCTAGCGGAATGTAAACGCAGAGACGATTGGCCAAAGTGGAACGAGGCAATAGGAGTAGAGCTGGACTCACTCTTAAAACGCGAAGTCTTTGGACCAGTAGTCCAAACACCTGATGGTGTAAAACCCGTGGGATATAAGTGGGTCTTCATCAGAAAAAGAAATGAACACAACGAGGTTGTGAGCTACAAAGCACGGCTTGTAGCACAAGGTTTTTCCCAAAGACCGGGAATAGACTATGAAAAAACATATTCTCCGGTTATGGATGAGAATACCTTCCGATTCCTAATAAGCCTCTCATCTCTAGAAGGCTTAGAAATGCAGCTCATGGACGTTGTGACTGCATATCTATATGGCAATATAGATAAAGATATCTATATGAAACTCCCTGAAGGATATAAAATTCCACCAGAGATAGCAGATAGACCTCGGGACGTCTATTCTGTTAGGCTTCAAAGATCATTATATGGTCTTAAGCAATCGGGGAAAATGTGGTATAACAGACTAAGTGAGTTCCTTGCTACAACTCCCTGAAGGATATAAAATTCCACCAGAGATAGCAGATAGACCTCGGGACGTCTATTCTGTTAGGCTTCAAAGATCATTATATGGTCTTAAGCAATCGGGGAAAATGTGGTATAACAGACTAAGTGAGTTCCTTGCTACGCAAGGATTCACAAATGATAAAGTCTGCCCGTGTATCTTTATAAAAAAATCGAGAACAGGATTCATTATAGTCGCCGTCTATGTCGACGACTTAAATCTCATTGGATCTCCTGCAGAGATCGCTGGGATATCTGAAAGCCTTAAGAATACTTTTGAAATGAAAGACCTAGGCAAAACAAAGTATTGTCTTGGCTTACAGATCGAACACCTTAAGGGTGGTATCCTGTTACACCAATCCACATATACACGGAAATTACTTAAAAAATTCCGAATGGATAAATGTCATCCTCTTAAGTACACCAATGGTTGTTCGATCATTGGATGTAAAGAACGACCCCTTCCGTCCGCTGGAAGAGGGGGAGGAAATGCTAGGTCCTGAAGTACCTTACCTCAGTGCCATTGGAGCACTATTATATATGGCTAACTGTACGCGTCCCGATATAGCGTTTTCAGTTAACCTACTAGCCAGATACAGTGCAGCGCCCACAAAGCGCCACTGGAATGGAGTTAAGCATCTTCTGCGCTACCTCCAAGGGTCTATAGACCTGGGATTATATTTCCCGAAGGGTGGGTCTCCCACCTTAATTGGTTATTCAGATGCAGGTTACAGGTCTGATCCCCACACCGAGAAATCACAAACCGGATTTGTGTTTACATTCGGTGGTACGGCCATCTCCTAGAGGTCTGTCAAGCAAACCACTGTAGCAATCTCATCCAACCATTCCGAACTCCTCGCGATCCATGAAACCAGCAAAGAATGTGTTTGGCTTCGTTCTGTCATTCAGCACATCTTAGTGTCTACCGGCCTGAAGACTGGTGACCTTGAGCCAACTACTATATTTGAAGACAATGCAGCCTGCGTTGCTCAACTTCAGTCTGACTTCATCAAGGGTGACAAGACGAAGCACATATCTCCCAAGTTTTTCTGGACACACGATCTTCAAGAGGAGGAGCAAGTTAAAGTATAGCAGATCCAATCATGTAATAATTTAGCTGACTTGTCACTAAGGCTCTGCCTAGATGTACTTTTGTAAAACTTGTAAAAGGAATAGGGATGAGACATCTGAAAGACCTACAAGCCTGAAGCTTGTATGGTTCAGGGGGAGTAACCTATGGGTTGTACTCTTTTTCCTTAGGCTGATGGTTTTTTTCCCACTGGGTTTTCCACAGCTAAGGTTTTAACGAGGCAAACAAGTTTACTCTGGATCCAGAAGTATCCACCCTATTAGCTTTAGGAACTCTGAAGTGTTCATAAGCTAAACCCAAGGTAATGGATGGATAAGGGGGAGTATTATGAGATGAGGGAGGCCTTTGGCCTCCCCCTCATTATCCCTCCATTCACACCCCATTATGATGGTGTAACACCCCATTAAGTGGGGGTGACTCTTGGGTACTCAACCTATTCATATTGACTATCTATAAATATAGATCATAGGCCTTTGGCCTGGGTAAGGGTTTCAAACACATTTTTTATTTTTCTGTACTTGCAATGCATTCCTCACGAAAAATATATGCAGGAGTATCCACCCTATTAGCTTTAGGAACTCTGAAGTGTTCATAAGCTAAACCCAAGGTAATGGATGGATAAGGGGGAGTATTATGAGATGAGGGAGGCCTTTGGCCTCCCCCTCATTATCCCCCCATTCACACCCCATTATGATGGTGTAACACCCCATTAAGTGGGGGTGACTCTTGGATACTCAACCTATTCACATTGACTATCTATAAATATAGATCATAGGCCAAAGCCTTTGGCCTAGGTAAGGGTTTCAAACACATTTTTTTATTTTTCTGTACTTGCCATGCATTCCTCACGAAAAATATATGCAGGAGATGCTCAATAAACCTCAAGTGCTCAATACCAGCATTATGTTCAAGTGTGAGCTTTTTCGCTTTTAAAAAATACTTCTCTGTTGCCGGGATTTGAACCCGGGTCGCCTGGCTGAAAACCAGATATCCTAACCGGACTGGACGACAACGGATTTGCACAACAGTATGGAATTAAAACGGTAATAAATACAAACATCGTCTCAACTTACTATTAAACATGACACCCTTCAAGAAATTTATACGCAGAAAAGAAGATTCAGAACTTACATTGCTCTGCGTCTCTTATTTATGTTACAAGACGAACATGTCAGTCGTGCGAGAAATAAAGCACAAAAAACAACCCAATATAAGACCATTAAACTAGCTTACGCTCCTGGCTGCAAACCTTCCACTTGCGACTTAGTCTGATGAAAGAGGAACAGACTTCGCCTAACAAGAAAAAGAACAACAAGGATTCAGAGGAATTACTAGATCATAATTTCAAATCATCCCACACAAAATATTTGGGCATACCAGATCTCTAAACTTTAATATGTAGAACATTTCAAGGTATCGACGTGTCTCTCGTCGTTCTAACTTCGACACATATTTCCAGAAACCATAAACCCCAGACAGTGTCATTAACCTTTCAGAATATATGCTCCATGTGTACCTATAAGATTTTTATAGAGAAAATCAGTCTTTGAACTCTCATACTGAAAATAAGATCTTTCGCCATTGACAATTACCTTTCGTTAATGCGAGACAACCCAGCATCAGATATCTTTTTCCAATAGCCAGAATCCTTCTTGCAACGGTCAAAGAAATCGACCAAATGTTCAGCTGCCTTATCAGGATGATATGGATCTATATGAAATCCTGATACTTGATGCTCTATAATCTCTGCAGGACCACCGTGACAGGTTGCAAACGTTGGAAGACCACAAGTCATGGCCTCTATTACTGTGAGACCAAATGCTTCATAAAATGCAGGCTACAAATAACAGCAATATAAACCGTAAGTAAAGATTGTAATTGGAAAAGGGTAACTTTCATAAAACCTCCCTGTACTTTCGGGGATGTAGGCTATTGTAATAAATGTAACTTCTACATTACACTTTTTTGGGTGGTAAGGGCAGGTAAGAAGTAAAAAAAATTTTAAGGGTTGTTTCGGGAAATTGATAATGAATTGGCGTTTATCAATATTAGCATCTTAAATCCTTCATATTTTAAAATCAGTCCCTCAAATCATTGAACTTCTAGTTGATACCCCAATTCTTGTAAGTTATTTCAAATTAATGCATAACTGCCTCTAATTGTTACTTCTGCTCTTGATTGGAGGGACTAGTTTCAAAATAACTTAAGAATTCAGGGACCAAATAGCAATTTCAATGATTTGAGGGACCAAACTAACTTAAGAAATGGGGTACCCAGTAGCAATTTCAATGATTTGAGGGACTAGTTTTATATGAAAGATCTAAGGGACTAATATCAAAATAACCCTAATGAAATATTGAGACAAAGATAGTATGTGCGTATACCTGTATGAAGGCACCTCTGGTATCAGCAATGTAGCGATAAAGCTCACCATTACGAGCCCGGTTCATTTGAGCAGAAATCCAGCGAAACTGGCCATCCAGCTTGTATGTCTTCATGAGCTGGTGCATCTTCTCGATTTCTTTGATTTCTTCTCTATCATTTGACATTTTCACATCATTGTTTCCAGCAACAACGACAAGGTTCACCAGTTCTCTCAGCTGGCTGCTTTTAGCAAACAATTCAACAAGTCCAGTTATGTTTTTCACTCGATCTAGCCTTGCCATGGAGAAGATGATAGGCTTAGAGCGATCATCTAATCTACCACTGCAACAGGATACAGAAAAGAAGTCAATTAAAGGTGGCGTAGATTAGAACAATGATAATATGTTAACTTTGACACTAATGATGTTGAACGTTACATCTGAAGAGCATGTACAAACCTCCAAACAAAGCATAAACATTAAATATGCTACATATTAATGCAACTGCAGACTGATCCATATATATTGAAAAGATGGTGGCCTAATAGTAAATAAGGATAATACACTCACACATGCTCAACACTTTGCTCTGGATCATACAATAGTTTCTCAATGGAACCATGTAGTGAAGTTAGCCTCCTTTCCTTTTCTGAGTATGGAAAGTAAATAGACATGTCTGCTCCTGGGGATACAATATTGAACTTGGGATCAAAAACATCAATGCCGTGGACGACTCTGTAAAGACCGGGAAGCGTAAAAGCCGTGTGGCTCTCATATTGTCCAACTGTATTTTGACTAAAGCAACACACAAAGATTTCAGTAACATTCAGAAGTATAGAAGCTTCTCTGAAAGCATGGAAAAATTTATCATGCAAGCTTTAGTTCGAAGTAATGCCTACTCACATAAGCGGTAAGAGGTTGCAGCAAGCATAAATCTGCAACTATATATAAGTTAAAAGCAACTAAGTATGGTTCGCAAATTTACATGAAACTATCCATGTGAAGAGTAATACAGGAAAAAGTTGAGAAAACAGATACATGATAAATAGGGTCATTTGATTCCCAGCATTATTCTCCAACAACAACAACAACAACAACAAGAGGTCACTTCACAGCCTAATTCATCCCCTTTATTTCTAACATTTCCATTAAAATTGGTTAGATGTGACCTAAGACAAGACATAAAGAGAAATAGAAATAATTGAGCAACTCTATATGACCGTCAATCTGGCTTCGGCACTCTTTGAGTTGTACCAGATTCCTAGAGAAGAAGAAACTGTAAACAAGAAAACATCCTAGAATAGAACCTTCGCGCCTTGCGGCCATGCCAGTGGAATATGCTTTAATGTTAAATTTGTGACCCTAATAAGCAATATTTCGTTAGAATATAAGGCTTCTTCTTGATCTCATGAAGCTTTAATGCATAATGGCGGCCATAAAAGAAAAACGAATGTATATATGCATCACCCACAGAAAAATTGATGTTGACAAGAGAGCTAAAGCATCCTATTTCAGAAATAAACAGTGAGCAAATATAAATCAGGAATGACCATAAAGGATACATATTCAGGCATGTGAAAGAAATAATTTCTTAGAAATTCTTAGAGACGTTTATTTTTTTGTTCATATAACAAATAGGAGTAATTTATCTCCGCTTTGATTTCAATCATTACGAATACAAGTCGTCGTTCCTTCTAAAAGGAGAACCAAAACTACCTCAGTTCCGGCACTATTTTGCATCAGCTCTTATCCCTTATGATGAGCACATGAGAAGCGCCATAGAACATATCATGAATGAACGCAAATCAGTTGGTCAGGGCAACAGCAACAAAAATGAGTTCAGCGCGTTGTTTTTTTTCAATACATACATAAAAGTAGGCACCATGAACGTCAAAAGAAGAAGAAGGGGTAAAAAAGAGACAAAAGTAATACTATTAGTATTGCAACCGCCGCATTTATCTCTGTTATTCTGGCCCTGACATATTTTCTAAGTTCAATCTAGAAAAGCTGGCAATAGCCGTCAGTGGGACTGACATAAATTGATCAGATTAGTTATTGCTCAGAACTTGCTACTGTATTGAAGTAGTAGTCCTTAACCAACTCCATATTGCCTGGAGTCAAATATTGGTGGTCATTGGAAAACGAAAGAAATATTGTTAATAGGCAAAGAATGACTAATAACGACTGACAGATAATAGCTATACAACAATATTTTAGGTAAGCAACATGCAACTTGCAACCACAAAGAATATTTCTACCAAAGTCAAATATATAGTTGATCTAATGTTGGAAAAACACAACCGAATTAAGACACATACCTTCCAGCAATTTCTTGGTAGGTACTAGTTATTATAAAGTCAGCATTGTTCATTGCTATCAAATCAGCAGTGAACTGACATGAGAAATGGTACTTTTCCTCGTATGTTTTCCAATATATGTCAGAATCTGGGTACTTTGTTTTCTCCAATGCATGTGCAATATTACACTGTATAGACAGAACTAACAAATTTCAAAATCTTGGTTCCTGTATAATAATGTATAACAATGGTATCAGTCCACTGACCTGTGTAATTCCAAGTTTATAAGCTAATAGAGATGCAACAAGATTTCCATCACTGTAGTTCCCAATGACTAAATCAGGATTTCCTTGTAGTTCTGCTGCGATTTCACTTGATGCATCCTAGTAAGTAAGTAACACTGTAAGAAAGTCTAATAAAAAATAAAAAATTCGTGTACTTGATTTGTACCATACCAAAGCAAACTTGGAAAGGAAAAAAAAAATTTAGTGCAGTTGCATCAATATTACTCAGCTCAAGTGGTTGGTGATATGGCAACATCAGAACTGTTTACTTCAGAGGCTGAATAAAATGTCATAATGCCTCCTAACACCTTTGATGATAAGACTACAGGAGTATCTTCTTTGACAAATCATTTCATTCCTTATTCAGAAAAGTTTCCTTCCGACTGAATAAAAGAAGCATAAAACACTGAACACTACAATAAGAATTTTTATGTTCATTTGATTAATCAAAAATTTGTGCCTTCAATAGTCAAGTAACTTGCCAACTTTGGCTAATAATTTCTCTCTCGGAGACGAGGAGGATATCATCGTCTTGCAATTCATAACTTATGTAACAATGGAAAGGTAGGGTGCTATAGAATGTAATCCAAATTGATCCCCATACTTCCTAAGTGATCTTGAAATGTTTTACAGTTAGGTCTAGCAAAAGGTGAGTTATCACAAAGTTAGCAGATCACTCATTATTCACAGTTCTGTTCTTTTGTGTCAGTAGATGAGCAATCCGTATCATTTATGTCCCCTGTGAAATAATTCTTTGACACTGATTCTTGAAAATCACAGTTTATACCTAAGAAACCCACACAAAATATGGAGACATCCATGCACTTATATAATCATAGAATAAGAAGACTGGTTCCAATTAAAGTACTGATCATCTGAAGGAAAATCCTGGATAAAATCTAATTTTCTTGACAACATTCTATACCGATATATAATGCATATTATACCATCAAAATTGCAAACTGGAGCATTCCAAAAAGTTTCCTACAGTGAAAAGTTTTTCTTTAAAAGCATTGAATTAAACCATACGTCATTTTTTTACTAAGAAGTACCTCTACAAATTTCTCCAAGTAAGGCCATACATCAAATCGTGAAATCCACTTTCGAAGAATCCCTTTTTCTGTCCTAAAGGGAACCCGCAAAATATGTGTATGTTCCGTTCCACTGACTCTCTCAAGCCGTTGATTGCATGTAGTGCCCTTTGCATCTGGTATCAATCTGGTCACCTATATCACGGGTGATAGTATCTAAACTATTAACCATACAAAAAGAAAAAGCACAATAAAGCGATGCAAAGAAAGTTCTACAAGCAGCATAAACAATTGCTCACATAAATAATATTGTGTAAATAATGTTTTAGAAATAATAAATGGGCAAGAATATTCCTTTTTGCACTTACCACAAGAATTCTGGGATTAATATTTAACCCTTGATTTTTTATTCTCAAAAGCATTTCATTCTCTAATGCGCGAACCTGGTCTAATATATAGACAATCTGCAAAAAATGAAAATAAGAAGTGAAAAGGCAGTTGTTATCTTTAAAAGGAGACGTCCAATGAAAGGAAAGGGAGGTAGGCATTAACAAACTTCTATCGAAAAGATCGAAAATATGGCAACACGCTAAATAGGAAAAAAGAAAACGACAGATTTTGCCATGACAATAAAAAATATGTGCATAAAAAATTCAATGGATAATTGAACGAGACGAAAGCAACCAAATATTTTTAAAACAAAACATTACCTGCCCACCAGTGTCTGGCAAACCTAAAACATTAGCTTGGCCAAAGTATCCATGTGGAGAAACAATGACGACATTGAAAACCATAGGAATCCTGCCCAGAAACATTTCTAAAGTAGAGGCATCAGGAGCTTGAAGAATATCCAAAAGAAGATGGATCATCTCCAATACACGTTGAGCTGTATCGCCCCAACCTTTCTCTAGTCCCATCTCTTGGAACCTGCATGCCAAATACCAACCATTATTTCCAATATGTTGCCAGATAAGTAACACTTTTCATCTAAATCAAGGCCTTTGGATAAAGAAATATTCATGATGCATGTCATTGCCAATGAAAACCCAAGAGTTGTCAAAATTCAGGAACATGCTCAATGCTGGGCAAAGTCTAATATAAGAATGATACTTTCATTGAAGCCAAGGAAGTCAGTTTGCAAGCAATTATCCTGCTTGTTGACAACCCAAATTAATTCAACCAAGGGGAAGCCTCCACTTAAACATCATCAATGCTATAAGAGAGTACAGGGCCTACAGGCAGAGTTGGAGCCTGACAAAGTTCTTTTGACAGAATTCAATTGATCATGACACACAAGATAAGCAAATTCATCTCCATTTGAGATAAAATAGAGAAGGCTAAAAATTTGCTCAAATAAGGCAAGGTTAATGAAAGTCTGAAATGTATCAATTAGTGAAAATTCCTGGCAATTATATCCAAATCATTCATGAAAAGCAAGGGTTCCTACGCATAAGCAAATTCCGAGAAGGGGGTATCAGGCGCAAGCTTCAGCAAATAGTCTTCAGCCTTTGATAATTGTGATTGAAGCTTTGATACACTCCCAATCCTATCATTCAACATCATCACCTGCAGACAGACACAGGGAGCAATCTCAGCAACCAAACATTTGTTTATTGAAAGTAGAAAGCCACACTACACTAATCTTTTGTTGCAAGCTACACCTACATGCCCTTTATACTTGTGGGCCCGAAGAAAATCAACCAACGGCTCCAAGCAATCCTTATTCCTGAACATTATAGACGATAGATGCCTGTTAAGGAACTGAACCCCATTTCCTATGGATGAAGACCTGCTGGGCCGTGGGAAATTCGCATTAAAAGGTTCAAAATCCAGCTCCAACACAAAAGGATCATTGTGCCTGCCAAATCCAGTTGACATAAGACATCAAGTACCAATAAGCATTCAATTTACAAAAAGGAAGTCCAACTTCCATTAAAATTTTGCTTTAATTAGCCAAGATATAGCAGCTAACCCAATATGCTAATTCCAAGATTCAGGTGACTTTCATTTAGATACCTCTTATTAGCTAAAAAAAGAGACAATCTAGCTCCATTATAATAAAAAAAGGGGCATATTCTCAGCAAGGTGCCTTGTATTAGTTAAAAAAAATCTAGCCCCTTTACTATATAAAAAGGGAATAAATTTTCCGCTCGCTGTACCCATACTCCAAAAACATGGTGACTATTGAGAGTTATAATTTTATACTACTATAAAAAATAGGATAAATTTTTAGGGAACTAAATCGAACTACTAAATTTCCCCTAAAAAAATCTATGTTTAATCTGAAAATAATAAAAATCCCAGCTTGCACGGTTAATTTTCTGTCATTCGAGCATTAAACAAAGAAGGAAACAAAAAAAAAGTTCTCCAATTATTCTTACTGTCCGTCGACAAGCTCTTCTTTAAATTTCAAATACTCCGAAATCGTCAACTGCTCGACCATGAGCTCATAAACATTAACCCTTACATACTCCCAAACTCCAGGCCTCGGCCGAAACGCAATCGCCACAAACGGTGGAAGAACAATCGCTTCCTATAATAATAAAAAAACAACCCAAAAAGATAAAATCCACCGATCAACCTCTAACAAATTACTGACGTTTTTCAGTACCTGAGCAGACTTGAGAACTTCAAAGAAGGATCCATCGACAACCGCTTGAGTCTCGGCGACGACGGTGTCGAGACCATCGAGGAGGTCGTGAGGCTGAAGAATTCCCTTGCCTTGTCCAACGTACCTAAAAATAGCAAAGTTAGGGCTAGGGCTATGGTTTCTAGGGTTCCAACGGAAGAGACCGGGGAGTACTTGGAGAGGAGAGAGACGAGATCGTTGCGGTGAGCGGAGAGGGTGTCCTCGACGCGCTCGCGGATGCTGGGGACGCGTCCGAACTTCGCCGTCGCCATGGATTTTTTTGAGATTTTGATTTGTGTTTTGATCGAAGGATTTGAGGATCGAGAGGAAGGAGGAGGAGGAGAGAGAGTGTGTGAGTGAGCGAGCGAGTGATGCACGTCGTAGGAATGCGGGGATTTAAAGGCGGGGAGCGGTTCTGGTACGGTCAAACTCTTATCCGTCCGCATAGAAGTTTCTATGGGGGAACTCGGCAGTGTTTAGCTCCTAATACATAGGATATATGGATAATCTTGCACAATATAATAATTATGATATCATAAGTTGAGAGCATATGGATTGTGATGTCATTCAAAAGGCACGACGAACATCACAAGAAATTTAGCGAAGCCAAAATTTTTGTGGAGTGGGATTAAACAACTGTTAAAAATCTTGAATATTATAGATCTAAATTGAAACTCTAAATTAAAATTTAATATGATTGAATGTGGTCTACAAATTAACTATTTAGAAAATAAATTGGAGGAATTCACCGTGGTTTGACGATGCAACTCATGTTATCAAAATCAATATCTCAGTATCTTCATAAATTGGAATTAGTTTACTCATTGATTTATGATTAAAAACACATGGAAATTATTAGAAATTTTGCTTCTAGATAGTCCATGTTGTTAGAACATTGACTAGGTGTAACATTGTTCATGCAATATCTCTTATTTGATTAATAACAAACTCTTATTTGTTACTGGTTAGTTTGTGAAGTGATATATTTCAAAAATAAATAAATACGAACAAGTTACGGTTCAAAACGATATAAAAAATTAACACAATAGTTGATGTTAGCCTTGAACCATCGATGGCCGAGTTAAGTTGTCAATGGAGTATAGGAAACAATCAAAGAAATAGAAACTAAAAATCGGACCATGATGGTCTACATTCAACCATCGATGATCTCAAAGACCATCAATGGGCTACAGTCAACAATCGCTGAGATGCAGAAATCAGAATTTACACAATCAATAGACTACAGCCAGCCATTGATGATCGTGATCAACCATCAATGGTCACGGTGAGTTTTGACAGATTTTCGGATTTAATTTCAGCTATTCGTCGACCCGTTAATCTCCTATTTGGACTCTAATTTGGATATATCTTTTCTATCTTATCAAGGCCTATTTAAGAGGAGATAAAGATCATAATAATAAACCAAAGAGAACCAAGAAAAATGAGAGATATATTCTAGAATTTTGATAGAATTTGATTTGGGAATTTAACCCTCAGAGCCTCACCCAACTTCTTTTCATCGTTCTTAACATCGGAGGATTGTCTTAGAGAGGAGAATTCCCTTTGCGATCAACTATGTAGGCAATAAAAATTACCTTCACAAGAGAGCTCAAATCTCACCCATTCGAGTTCGCCTGCGGGCTTAAGGCCAAGCCAAAGCAGCTCTCAAGCTCGCCTGCAGTGAGTTCGCTCGCATGAACCCAGCTTACCAACGAACATCAGCTCACACGCTCGAGGGGTTCGCCAGCTGACCCCGCCTGTTCACCAAGATCGCCTACAAGCTTGTTTGAACGTTCAAGCAGCTCTCAAGTTCACCTACGAGCATGTCAGTCTCGTCTGAACAGTACAAGTGACTGCTTGCTTGTGGGAGTAAGCCTACTCACTTCCCACATTCTGGGTAATGAGGCATGGCTCTCATGACCCCTATAGTGATCACATCCCATAGCTATAGAGGGAGTATGCTACTCCTTACTCCTATTAGTGGTCACATCCCACAAATCAATGGATGACACATGTCATCCCTTGCCTATTTATAGCCACCTTTGGCCAACATAAAGGAGACTGGCATCTTGGAGATCAAAAATCCGAACTCTTGAGGGTTAAAGTCGTGTTGCTGACAATCTTTTCAAAAGCTTGGCATCTCCAAGGTGTTTGGGGTGAAAGTTGGTATATTCATTGCTAAACTCATTATAACTTTGATCGTTACAACAAGTTTAAAAGGAATGACTTTTTATAAGACTCCTTACACAATGAAAATAAAAATTACAACTCTCTCTCTTTAAACAACACACAACAAATGTTTATCGTCAGCTGTTTGCATGAGATCATTGCCTGTATGGGGGATTATCCATGGACCATCGTGGATCAGATCCGATTGACAAAGTGATTATTTAAAGCTCTTACTTCACAAAGAAAGTAATCGTAGAAGTAAATAATCTCGACCAAGCGAGATTACTACTCTTCTCGAGATCAAAACCAAGTTTGATCCGGAGGAAAGGTGAATGAGCCTCAGATCTCTCAAACTCTCCCTCTTTATACTAAAGAACTTCGCCAAGATCTGCTAGCCTCTCTAAAATTCATGGATCACTCTTTAAACCGGCAACACCTCACCTAATTTCCCCTCCCCTGTATAAGACCCTAGGCTTGTATTTATAGACTTTAGTTATGGTGTTTTTTGGATAAGAACAAGTGATTTGGCATCATCTTCAGTTAATAACAGCCTAACCACATTTAAGGATGATATCCAAGTAGTTGGGAGGCTCTGAAACGAGCAAATCCTAAGAAAACTGAGCCGACACTAACATGAGCACCAATGTGTCGTATCTCCAAATCCGGCTTCATTAATGTGGTTGCCTACGTACCCCCTCTCCCAAGGGATTAAGCTGCTCGTAGTTCATCTAAATGGCCTCGAAAGGCCTCAACAAGCACAAATCCGTAACAAGCTTCTATAATGATCGAACTTGTCATTAGGGACCACCTTCGTGAACATATCTGTTGGATTGTATTTTGTGTGGATCTTCATGAGCTCCACATCCCCATCTTCAATAACATCTCGGACGAAGTGATAACAAACGTCAATGTGCTTCTTCCGAGAAATCACAGTGGTCGAATCTCGTCTCAGCAAAAGAGTGTTCGGAAATCACAGCGGGGGTTTAGTGTTTATCACTTTGTTCGTAATGATCGGGTTATCCCTAAGAAAATTACATGTAGCATTCTTCCGGGAACTTCCCGTTACATAAATCATCCACCCCCAGCTTCCTTCGCGAAACTAGGTCTAACATTATAGATGTAATGTCTAACATTATACTGAATTACATGACCGAGTTATCCTTAAAAATATTACGTATAAAAATTCTCCAGGAACTTCCCGTCAAGAGTGAGAAATAGTTTAGACTCGTATACCTATTGGAGGATCAAGGAATAGTTTAACCTTATATACCGGTTAGATGATGGAGAAGCAGTTTATACTCGTATACTCTTCGAAGTATCGGAAGGAGCAGTTTATACTCTTATACTTGTCGGAGTATTGCCGTTCTCATCTGACTTATCCCAGCGTTATGATGTCAGCTTCAACCAATGTTTGGATGCTATTCTTGAGAGCAAAGCAATTCTTGGTGGGATGAAGGATCCTCCTATGGTATGCACAATACTTTGGATCCGAAATGTTATCAGCTTCTTCCTGATTTGCGATAGGTGGAAGCTTGATCTTGTTGTTTTCAAGGAGAGATTCGAAAATGGCTGGAACGTTTTCAGGTGGTCCCGACCCTAGTTTCTCTTTGGGAAGCAGGGTCAATTCGGGAATAGCTCAGCTTCAGCTAGAAGCCGACAGATATAACAACGATCGTGGGATCCATGAAGGAGTCCTTTCTGATGATGAATCCTCAGATTCTCACTCCGCGCTCGCCTCTGATGACACAACGTCTAGCATAGGGCAAGCTCGATAGGTGGAAGCTTGATCTTGTTGTTTTCAAGGAGAGATTCGAAAATGGCTGGAACGTCTTCGTCCTTAAAAGAGTACTCTTTTTGGAGTCTTGAATCCGAAGTCTTTTGCTATCTCCGAGATTGTTGTTGTGACTTTTGATTAGCATCAACAGCTGCTGCAGGTGTCTTCCCCTTGCCACGGGAAACGAAGCTTGAGTTCGGAGGATTAGCCATCGGTTAGCTTCTCTCGGCCTGTTTCCTTCTGAGGAAGCATTCGGCCCGCTCTCCGTGCATCTTTAGTTCTTTCCAGGTATTAGAGGGTGCTATTCCCATGACTTCCAACATGTCCAAAGAGAGGTTGTTATAACAGGTTTGGAGGATGAAGTCCTCTGTGATCGGATCTCGGCAGTTCATCGCCTTGTTCCGGAAGCGCTTGACGAATTCGTTGACCATCTCATCGTCTTTTTGCTTCTCATCGAAGAGTGTTCTGATTAACACCTTGACATCATCATCAAAGAAGTGAGCGAGGAACAGGTTCTCCAGGTCGTCCCAGCTGTTGATGTTTTCAGACTTGAGACGGCGGTACCAATCAAAGGTGGGCTCACGAAGGGTGCCAATAAATAACCGAACCATCAAGGCTTCATTGCCGGAGATCATACCTAAGTGAGACTTAAAGTAGATCAAATGCTGAGTGAGCGAACCCTTCCCGTCGAACGGCGTGAAGTTGATCAGGTTAAACTTCGCCGGATACGGGGTCGAATCCCACTCTCTCGGGTAAGAATACAAAATCCTGATCTTCTTTACCTCTCGATCAGACATCAGAGCGTTGACTTTTCTCTCGAGGTCCTTCATCTTTTTGTCCTCGTCTGTATCATGCTTCGGACGATTTGTGAGAGAAACAACGGGGCCACCCCTAATGTTATTATCATTGGCGGAACCACCCCCGGTGTTGTTGTCCTCAGTGGGGCCACCCCTAGTATTCTGGTCAACGGGAGAGTTCTTAGCATTGAGATGTTCATCCACATCTGAATCGCTACTTGCTTTGTCAGCAAGGTTGTGACGGCTGGATTCACCGAACTGATTGGACAGAGCCCGAATTTGTTGGTCATGCTCTTCCCTCATCCGTAGCATAGCCATTTCCATTTTAATCTTGAATGCCTCTTTCTGCTTGGTTAGAACATCCTCGAGAATTCTAGCGATTTGCTCAGTGTTGATCATGAATGCCTCGTGGGATTGTCCTGGGCTGGACACCGTTTTGTCAGAAGCGACTGCAGAGTTGGTATCTGATGTTTCATTATCCGAGGATAATCCCCTTTGTATTCTCTGATAATCTCTTTGTCTAATGGTTCCCGATCGCAACCGGGTTAGATGATGCGATATAAGCGGGTCAAAGCTAGAAGGTCGAATCGACTTTTCCTTATCAGCCACATTAA